CTTTCAGCAACCCTACAAAGCCTCTCGACATTTGTAGGGGGAAAAAACCCTTGGAATCTATGTCATGCTGTAAAGTTCCGTAATTATCTCTAGACTTAGAAAGTTTTATTATTACTCATTAAAATAACTATATTCAGAAGCGAAGTTTCTAGGCTAACATACATGAAATTGAATATAGGTCTAGATAGAAATTAAATTACACGTAGAAGCCTTATACTGGCTTCAATCGCGTGCCGAGTGTTCCTACATCATGTACATATGTACAATACTTATGTATATGGCATGTTCTTTGTGATTGTAGACGAGCTTCACCTGATGGTGAGCAGTTGTCGTCACTCATGCGGTAGGCAGCGGCTTGGCTCTGCCCCTGGCATTGCTGAAGTCCATGGGCGACGGTAACCACTCACCATCAGGTGGGCCGTGTGCTCGTTTGCCTACAAGGGCAATAAAAATAAAAGAAACATGCATGTCAAGAAAACAAAAGAAACAGCAAGTTCACCAATCTCTTCTTCAACCCGTGTCCACCCAATGCTGAGTGTAGGTCTCTTCGAATGCACCCCATTCTCTTCGGTCTCTTGCCTTTCTCATCCAGTCTCTACCAACCACTTTGACTAGGTCATCCGTCCACCTCGTTGGCTGTCTGCCCATGTTACGACATCCAGTACGAGGTCTCCACTTCAGTACTTTTGTGCCCCACCGATTGACAGTGCGACGGCATATTATGTGGCCGACCCACTTCCACTTTTTCCGAGCAATCTCTTTGACTATGTCAGTCAAACCAGTTCTTCTGCGGATATCAGTATTGCGTATTCTATCCCGAAAAGAAATGCCTAACATAGCCCATTCCATGGACTGACTGACTTCATGCACAGTCCAACACTGAGTCTTTTTAAATCTCATTTGGAAATGTATTCATTCTAGATCCGATTGGTTGGCGGTAATAAGAATAATTTTAAATGTCATTTGGTGCTAGTTATGTAACATTCAAAAAAGCCATCCAGTAAATATGCAACATTTACCATAAAGTTGTAAACTGTATCGGAAACACCTTTACCTTGTGTGTTACATGCGAAGCTCAAAGGATCGCACGCTGATAATAATACATCCGGCTTATCTTCGCTGGGTACGGATATGCCATCCCAATCTACTCTAGTCACAAGAAATGAGTTTGGCAATCGTATCGCCAATCTCATTTCTTGCAGCAATATCCGATCCTCTAGAAATTTCTCCATCTAAAAATTGTCCTTTCTTTAATTTCCCACTAAGATTAACCGATCTCAAAGAGCATGGTCGAGCCGCATGCATGGATACCATCATCATACCTGATTCTGGCAAGAATTATTGGTATATACCACTGAAGATTCCACATTAAACCTCAAGCTGGGCGATACCATTCACTTTCTAATGTCTATGGGCTCTTGAAACTTGAGCGTGTATGTACTGTGACACACACATGCTGCAATATGTTGTTAACACTTAATAATGCACTTGCAGATTAGTTTGGGGATTTCTTGAATCTAATTTTTTACCAAAATGCGTAAACAATAACTGAAGTAAGTATGTAGAAGGACCGGTAAAATAAACACGTGTGGCACTTGGGAACTGTCACGGTAAAGCTATTGCATAGCATTTTTTATCAACTTATGCAATTATAATTAGACAATAATAATTTAATATTAAAACAATAATAAAATAAGACCACGCTATATTTATATACATTAACAAAAGCAAAACATTAACTGTCCCCTTCACACTCGTAAGCTAGACCGCGCGAGAGAGAGATGGGCAGACTTTTCATGCAGTGCGACGTCACACCGCACGCTTATTCACAAACACTACACAAGCGCAACGTGTGAATGTGTTGAACGCGAGCTACATGGTAGGCGGAGAGGTTGTTTTCGTTACGGAATTTCTTGATTCGGTCGCCGCGCTCAAAGCCCGCGATAAAATCTATGCAATAGCTTAAAAATATATTTCAATTTATTTATTTCACACTGCAAACATTTGCACAATCAATACATTATCTTACGTTCTGGAGAAGTCGGGTCAATGTACTCCACAAAATTTTAAATTAATTCTACGACGCGCAAGAAAAAATTTCAATTTTCCAGTAAAAAAAAAATAGAATATTCTGCTCATGGCATCTTTGAGTTCAGATCGACAATTAGATTTGAATGGCGAGTGCCTTTTTCATAATAAGATCGGTTATTGAACAGGCGCCGCTGAAATTGAATTGTAAAAGCATCATCGGTGTTGGAATTCATTTAATTCCGCCATTAGACAGGTCGGGTTTTCGGCATTGTTGGGTGTCTTTATAGGGGAGCCTTACGTTTTATTACCGACTGCTACCGACCACTGAAGAATGTGTTTTAGAAATTTAATATTCATGTCGCTTGATAAGTAAAACAGTTATATCTATATATAAATACAGACAAAACAGTTAAGTTCCATATTCTCGTCTGTTTGGCAACCGGCTATCTTTCTTTTCTCACTTTTTTTTTGTTTACATACTATTGATGATCTTTTTTACTATTAGCAATTTTGTTTTCAGGAAAAGCCAATAACATAACATAATATATGAACATAATTTATGGGTATCAGTAACAACGATTGAATATAATAGTTTATAATTGCGAGAACACTAGCATTATTAATCACTTTTTAATATATATTTTATTTAAATCGACAAAGAGGTGACATAAACAATAGTGTACGTGTTTTAAAAATGTAAAAATAATAGAGTAGAAGAATACCGTCACCCTCACTAGGCACGTATCGCATGTTCTCAACTTCTCATTTCACTAGTGGTAGGACCTCTTGTGAGACCGCGCGGGTAAGTACCACCACCATGCCTATTTCTGCCGTGAAGCAGTAATGCGTTTCGGTTTGAAGGGTGGGGCAGCCGTTGTAACTATACTTGAGACCTTAGAACTTATATCTCAAGGTGGGTGGCGCATTTACGTTGTAGATGTCTATGGGCTCCAGTGACCACTTAACACCAGGTGGGCTGTGAGCTCGTCCACACACCTAAGCAATAAAAAAAACAAAAATCCGATATAGTGTATTCACGAATAACGTTGGACAACCCGAGAGCAACTTTTCTACATTTGTATAATTTGACTGTGTGTTGAGCTAAAATAACATATTAATATTCCTCTTCCCGTGTGTATTGTAAAAGGTTACTTAATAGTTACTCGGATACAGTAGGTTTTTTTTACCACTTTATTAGTAAAATGCGATTTTCACCTATGTTTAACCACCCTGTCTCCCAGTCCAGCTGGTGGCAAATAGGTAGGTAGCGGCTTGGCTCGGTAGGCAGCCGCTTGGCTTTTGGTAGACAGCGCCTTGGCAATACCCCTGGCATTTCAGAAGTCCATGGGCGACGGTAATCACTTACCATCAGACGGTCGGTACAATCAACTGCCTACGAGGGAAATAAAAAAAGCATAGTTTTCTTTGATCGCAAGAGAATAGTCCGACATAGCCACAATAAATCTGTTTAATATTATGATGCAATTTATAAAATCAAAACCACAACTTTAGAAAATTGTTTCAGACTAAAACCGATAGTTAACGCTTCGCCTGACATTTTGCATAGTCAATGTACACGTTGACATGAAATAGATTGAAAGCCGGTCGCCATGTTGGTTCGCTGAACTGAACGAAACCGGATTAGAGCGGATACAACCGCTTACCGAATAGAATTTGAATTTGCAAAAGGTTTTTGTGATTCGAATTTGATTGAACCCACAGTTTTATTATGCAATTACAATAAAACTAGATGAAGGGCTTCATGTAAAATTAGTATTTCATCGAATATTTTGTACTTATAGTACACAGCGAACTATCCAGTTATTTTCTTCAAGAATATTTCATTTTTAAGGCTTTATCTAAAATTCATTGTTATACATGCGATCTAACTGCAACATGATCTCTCAAAGCGACATTCATGTCTTCAACCGCTTAGTATGAATCGGGTCTGTCCTGGCTGAGCCTTTGCTCGCCCACCTGTCCTGGTGAAACTGGAAAGGCTTCCGGGCCACCAGTAATCCTTCAATCATAAAAAGTCTTGGAGTCTCCTAGTACAGGCTTGCACGCTTAAAAGGAGACTCCAATCATTGTATTATTTAACTTGCTTTTGAAAATAAAGTATTTTGTAAAAAAAATCGTGTTAGCATTCAGAAACTCGATTATAAAAAACAGTATAACAACATAACGGAAACTAATAGAAAATATGGTTTTATACATAATAATAATAAATTGTCATCAATAAAAATTATATTTTAGTATTAATAATTGAATTTACAAAACACATTTTAATCAATAGTACTGCTTTTCACAGTACTGGTACATATTTCTAAAACTATGTATCGAGCATCGCATATAACAGTCTCCTAGTAACAAAACATAATATCGAATACACTCCACTCGCCGTGTGTACCAAAAGCGTGTATCGGGACACTTCTGGCGCGCGCTGACAAATGCTCAGATTGACGTGTAATAGATTGTTGAATGGCGGCAGCCATCTTGAAACCGCCACGAACCGGATGAAACCGGATCGAAGCGAATCTGCTTAGTAATTTTGTTAGGTTGTTCAGCGGGAAGGAATGTTATCATGGCGATGCTCTCACATACCTTGTGTTGTCCCAATACATATCCATCTCTAATACTTATCTTTACTTTAATTTTTTTTTATTGCTTAGATGTGTGGACGAGCTCACAGTCCACCTAGTGTTAAGTAGTTACTGGAGCCCATAGACATCGTCAGCGTTAATGCGCCACCCACCTTGAGATATGAGTTCTAAGCTCTCAGTATAGTTACAACGGCTACCCTGCCCTTCAAACCGAAACGCATTACTGCTATAATATGCTAATAATTCAAGTTCAAAATTATCCAAATCGGTCTAGCCGTTCTCGAGTTTTAGCGAGACTAACGAACAGCAATTCATTTTTATATATTATATAGATGAAATTAAAACAAGATCATTAATTGTCAATAGGCGCAGTCGGCGGAGACGGCGATGACAGCGACGATAAGGAAAAGGAAGAAGAAGCCGAACGTGAGCGGCAAGAGGCCATCCGCGAGGCTGAGGAGCGGCGCAAGGAGAAGCACCGCAAGATGGAGGAAGAGCGAGAGAAGATGCGCCAGGAGATCAGGGATAAGGTGAGCTCATACTGAATTCTGCAAGGTTCAAGCCAAACATCTTTTCGGAAGAATTACGTATAGTGAATTCGGCTTAACAACATGTACACATCGATTTACTATTGGTAGGACCACTTAAGTTCGCACGGGTAGGTACCACCGCCCTGCCTATTTATACCGTGAAGCAGTAATGCGTTTCAGTTTGAAGGGTGAGGCAGCTGTTGTAACTATACTGAGACCTTAGAACTTATATCTCAGGGTGGGAGCGCATTTACGTTGTAAATTTCTGTGGGCTCCAGTAACCGCTTAACAACCAGGTGAGCTGTGAGCTCGTCCACACATCTAGACAATAAAATATTAAAAAGATTTTAAGCTGTCATTTGCGATAAAGAGAACTTCTCCACTATGAGTCTAAGGGACAGGACGAATGACTTAATGAACATGACAACCTCAATGACACCACTTTCCATACGAGATCGAAGTCACGGTTGCGTTGTATAATAGTTATCCCACCTTCGAGCCGGAACGCATGACAATTTTCCTTCAAAAATAGGCGGAATGGCGTTTTCTACCCGTGCGACCTTACAACTGTCACACTGCGCTGTGATTCTAAAAATACTTCTATCATTCTCCGTTAAACCCTTTGTTCACTGTACAGCATCTAAAGGAAGAGATGGGTGATGCTATTCTAAGCCTACAACACAAAAACAAGTTATGTTATAGAAAAAGCAAAGCTGTTAACTCTGCGGCTTTGATTGTATCCGGGAATTTAGGCGGACCAGATTAAAAACTGTCATTCTTGTGTAGCTAATTCGTCTTGTGTACAAGACAAGCCGCAACAAAAAAATTCCCGAGACATTATAAAAATATCAACGGCTCACACTGAGAGAGCACTCATCGCAAAACGTTGAAAAAATTTACAAAACAACTGATGAAAGAGAATAATTGACACAGATCAAGCACACACTCTACACGCGCAATGAAAACGTTTTCAACGATACCTATTAACTGACGTGCTCATGCTGACTGCTCTCCACAACGAATTACCCGTTGCTCCGAGGAGTAGTCGCGAGGTACTTGACCCACATGTGGACTGCTGTTAATTGTGGACGCGTGGCGGACAGCCTGACATTTTGAGTCCCACGATGACTCCATCAATTCTGCCGTTAATTAAAAGATGGGCAGTTTTAGACTGTAAGCTTGTTTTGTGATTGATATAATCACAGTCTTAATATATATATATTTCTTGTGTGCGTGTGTTTGTACTCCTAAGCGGCTGGATCGATTTAAATAAAATTTTCTGTGTACCTTCAAGTTGATTCGAGAATGGTTAAGATTTACAAATCAACCTGGCAGATGACGCTGCAGTCGGTATCTATGTTATTTATCTTTCCTAGAAATAATGTATATGCCAAAACAACGTTATAACTACAACTAAATTTTATGAAAATCGTTGGAGCCGTTTCCGAGTTTCAGATTATATTATATTTAAATATACAAGAATTGCTCGTTTAAAGGTATAAGATTATACCGTCATTCTCAATACCCCTAACCTATGTGAAGCTATACAAACTCTCCCGCATTAAAGTAATCTAGTTGTAGGGTAGATTCACTGAGCAGTGCTCACCTTGGCTGTGCTCCTGGTAAGGGTGACCACCTATCATTTTAAGAACCGTATGCTCATCGGACTTAATGCGAATCAATCATATTTTTCAGTTTGATAGATAGGACAACCGTTTTAGAATATCAATGAGACTCCGACCTCATGTCTCAAGGTGCGGTAACGGTATTCACATTATGATGCCTATGACCCATTATCGAAATAATGACTCGACACAAGCCGGTAGCTTGTACAAGCATCGAAGCAATAAAAAACAACTTATCAAGCTATAAAATGTAACGATAAAACAAATTCCCAACGTACAATCTCAATATTTTATTTACAAAACAATTACGGTGTATTTCTGCAAAAAAATAAATCTATTCCCAGAACGTTTTCAGCGTTTTCTGGCGGATTGTTTTAATTAAAAAACCATTCTCTCTTCTAAACCTTTTGTTCATGAAATTAAAGGACAACCCTTCTCATACTTGTCGTAATCTTGACAGTCCTTCATTTCCCTTGTCCTTTAGACATAGGCCCAATGTTAGCGTGGTGGCTCCAGATACCTGTCTCATAATCAAAGTCCCAGGTTCATAACGGATGGCAATGAAGTATAGTTTGTTTGCAAAGAAATTTATTAAACTTAAAACCTGACGACCATGATATGGTATGAGATGGTTGTAAGACGTATTGTGAAACTCTGTACCCCTGCAGTCTGTTTACTACAGCAGGTAGCTTTACTATGGAGCAGTACTTTCCGATTGGACTGGTGAAATAGTCTTTTTACAATATTATTAAAACTACGACCTCTCGGCAAATATTTGCTACTACTCTAGTTATAGAACACTGTGTTGAAAATCATTGTTAAGTACATCATGTAGGCAGCGGCTTGGCTCTGCCCCTGGCATTGCTGAAGTCCATGGACGACGGTAACCACTCACCATCAGGTGGGCCGTATGCTCGTCTGCCTACAAGGGCAATAAAAAAAAAAAAAACTGGCCGTGTTCAGTACACAATAACATAGCACAAATCATATATAAATATTTCAGCCATTCTGCCAATACAACAACAATAACATTACGAACGACGCAATATCCAGACTAAGATGAAATCAAAAATAATAATTAAACTAAACGCGATTCTAAACTATACATCAATTATAATTTAAAGACAGTTAATCATACAAATAAATGTTTATTTTTTGCTGAAGGATTCCGAAAAGAATTTGTAGTAGCTCATTAATTGAAATTACGTAATATCGCAATAAAAAACAATCAGAGTGCGTTCTACAAGTCACATTGCGGTTGCACCACCCTGTATGATGTACAGCGTGTTTGTTTATGTAAATATGTGATTTAATACAATGTAGGTACAGTATTAGATAGTTGTGTTAAATAAGCAATATTAGGGTTATTTGTTCATGTATTCCATTAATAAGCTCTATTAACTTTTGTATCGTACATTAATTGATTATGAAAAGATAAGTTTGTAAGATTCTTGAAGAAGATTATGTTTATCTTACAAATAAACAATAAAAGGAAAATAAAATGAATCCTAAAGCTTAGCGAGAAGAAGACAACGGCGATTCCCACATAACAAAAGTTTTATTTATTAAAATAAGTGAAAAGGTGTTTAAAATTTATGTTTAAAAGGTATTAGAATAAATTAAGCAATGCTTGAGGGATAAATACAAAAAAATATTTAGAAATCGGGATTAGAAGATTGTTGTTTATGAGCGAAGAAAAGCAATCAACAAAAATGCGATTTTATTTCTTTTATCACAACAGTAAAACATAGGGCGCCCGGTAAGCGAGGCACATTTACGGCGACACAAATTGCCCGTAATTCACCCAAGATGGCCGCCGAGCCATCGGAACAAGTGCCGCGCGCTTTGTGCATAACTTTTTGACGCATACCCTCACTTTTGAGATTTAACTGGTTGACAATTTAATGGGTTCAAGTCTCGACTGAGAGAGCTTAGGTCTGCAAAGAATCTAGGTCTTACACTGGAAATAGGTTAATTGCTAAATTCTAGACTTGATATGTGAAGTTCTATACTTGACATTCTTAAATTTCACATAGAGTATGTACTTATTTCAAACACAAAGCGTGTATGTATCCTGAATGAATGGTAGGATAGCTTGGATTCCTTACATCTCCATCTGAGCGGTGGTTTTAACTTTATGGTATCTATGGACTTTGACATTCTATTAACGTCAGTGACGTACCATGAGGTCCTTTGTTCGTTTGCGTAAATAAAATAACTGAACAGTAATATTCGCTCCGTGAACATTTACGATTTAATCTTGTTTGTTGTTGAGATTGAATTCGCAAGTCACTTGATTGGACGGACAAATGTAAACACGCTGTACATACATAAACTATAAATAAGGGGTTTCGAAACATCCTGTATTCATAGCGAGCTATATAGATACTCTTTTTTTTATTGTCCTTGTAGGCAGACGAGCATACGGCCCATGGTGATGCTGAGTGGTTACCGTCGCCCATGGACTACAGCAATACTAGGGGCAGAGCCAAGCCACTGCCTACCGTTAAGTACTCTCTACAAGCCTTGTTTGAAGAGTGACATGTCATTATAATACGCTTTTTTTAAAAAAATATTTTTATTTTGAAAAACTATTGTGTATCTTGATAGTTTGTCCTGGTTTGGTGGTGAAGGAGCAAGCAGTGTTGTCAGTTATCCAGCACAAATACTCATGTCTCAATGACATATATCTCAATCTATATGACAATAAAATTTGACGTAATTTCTTTGACAAATGTTATATTTTATGAAATCAGAAGGTTAGATTTCTCGTACGAGTTATAATCTGGTGGTTATCACTGGTGGTAGGACCTATTGTGAGTCCGCGCGGGTGGGTACCACCGCCCCGCCTATTTCTGCCGTGAAGCAGTAATGCGTTTCGGTTTGAAGGGTGGGGTAGCCGTTGTAACTATACTTGAGACCTTAGAACTTATATCTCAAGGTGGGTGGCGCATTTACGTTGTAAATGTCTATGGGCTCCAGTAACCAATTAACACCAGGTGGGCTGTGAGCTCGTCCACCCATGTAGCAATAAAAAAAAATTTTTTGTACACATCAAAGTGTTAGCTTTCCCTTTGAATCTCATTTAAACAGTAAAAGCCATCTTCTAATAACCTACTAAATCCTAAACTAAAAAAACCCTACTAATCAACAACTTTTGTTCAAAATTTTACCTAAAATAATTATTGACAATTTAAAACTTTTCCATGTACACAGCCGGCTGCACTAGGCCATTAGTCGTGAAATTACTATGCTAACTCGCAATGGAGGCGCTTCACCGAACATCGCCCCTAATAAAATTTACGCCTTAAATGTCTGCGTCAAAGGACTGAAAGGTAATTTTAAGCGAATTTAGAATGTGGGGTCGCATTCATA